ATCAGACGTTTAAGAAAAGAACCGATGTGTAGATGCAGATCCCGGGTGATAAACCCAGGATACTACACTACCCCTCACCCCCTTTACCAGCCCTACCCCCCACACACACACACACCTTGCAAAGCCTCTTGAGCAGCCTGGCCCTCCGTGCATCCGCAGCTAGGTCCACATCCATTGCGGAGGACGCATCCGTGAACGCCCCCCCTGCCCCGCTGCTCCGACCCTGACTGGCGCCGTCGTCGTCATCGCCCTGACTGCTGGCACCGTCAATGTTGTCTGGGAAGGGGGGAGAGAGGGAAGGGGGGAGAGAGAGGAGGGGAGTGGGCGGAGAGGAGGGGGGAGAGGGAGGAGGGGGGAGAGAGAGGAGGGGGGAGAGAGAGGAGGGGGGAGAGGAGGGGAGGTACGAAGGAGTGGGAGGGGGTAAAGCGGGCGAGAGTCCGGGAAAGGGGGAAAGGGGACGGGGGAAACCACATGATGAAAAACACACAGACCTCGCACACGCGAGGACCGGTTAAAGGGGGCCTTCGTGCGCCGCCGGCCTCCTTTCCCTTCTTTTCCCTCCTTCCTTCCATTTCCCCCTTCCCTCCCCCCTCCTCCAGCCCCACCGGAAGCACTTCGGGGATGTGAAGGTAGTGGGGCCCCCAGCTCCAGAAGCTTTGAAACGGGAACGGCGTCCAGCAGGACATCGCCGCCACCGCCGCCACCGCCGCCGCCGCCGTAGCCGCCGTGGCCGCTGTGACGCCGTCGGTCACCGCTGCGGCTGCTGCCCCGTACCTCGCCGACACCGTCACCGACTTCACCCTCGGACTCGCCGCCGGGCTCCCCCTCCCCCTCCCCTTTCCCCTCCTCATCCTCATCCTCATTCACAGGATCCAGATCCAGCTTCCTGCGGCTGCTGCGCCTGCGGAAGGGGGCCAGGTGGAGGGGCGGCGGGGAGGCGGGGGAGGCGGGTTGCGGGGCAAGGCTATCTCTTAAACTCAATATTGGCAGCTATTTCGTCCTCGCTTGCACGTGCTTACTCCCCCTTCCCACTCCTCCTCCGTCCTCCTCCACCTCCTATTGCCCCACGTCACTGTGAGCGCTGCCACGATGGCGTTTGGCCGGCCCCCCCGCTATCCTGTAGCCACCACCACCACCACCACCACCACCACCACCACCATCACCACCACCACTGCTGCTGCTGTTGCTGCTGCCCCCCCTTCTGGGAATCTTGCAGTTTGTTGATACCGTTAAGTTGATACCGTTTTTACACGCACTTTTGGTGTCGGCATGCTTTCTTATCCTTCCTTCCCTTTGCCCTTAAGCACTTTTATCCTTCTTTCTTTCCTCCTCTTTTACGGGACTTTTCTCCCCAAGCGCCATGACAGAGGCCACTACTCCTGCGGCCCAGGGTAGAAGCACCGCAAACCCCCAAAGGTTTTCTCCTAAAGCACTAGATAATAACCTAGATAATAATGGTAATAATGCCGGTACAGATTTCTATACTCCGGAAAAAAATGAATCTCCAGCCAATTACTCCCCCCACACACAAGCCTCATCCAACTCTTACATCATGGTAGATCCTCGATCCATCAAGGCCCAGTGCAAGCCGTTAGAACCGTTGAGATTTGCGTTTGTGGACGACGGCCGGCCGGCACCGCCGGCCCCACCGCCATCCATACTCACTGCACCCGCGACCGAGCTACCGCCTGCATTGCTGGTACGACGCCCCGGCGGGGGCGGCAAGCCGTCGTTAGTACGGCGACGTAAGACAGCAGCGGCGGCGCCTGGGCCGCTTGCCGCTGCCCCGCCGCCGCTGAGGCTGAGTGTAGCTTGGCGGGAGAGCGGGATGACGTCACGATCCGCCGCCGGATCGTTTTGTATTTGACTGCTCATTTGCTTGGCGAGTGTACGAACCCACTGAGCCACGAACTCTGACTGGTTGTGGGCAATCTGAGGGAGGGTGGGAGGGAGGGGAAAGACGAACCACGAACGAGTGAAGCTGCTGCCAGGGCCGGACAAGAGTGTACCAGAGAGTGGTGTGGGAGGGTTGAGAGGAGAATTGAGGGAGATAAGACGACCGATAGTGAGGGGGAGGGATGAGGGAGGGGAACAACGTTTGAATGCAGTGCATCCACTTCCGTGCCATGTCACCCTAGAGTCGTCGTCAAGGGAAAAGCGATGAAAGGAAGGCAAGGCAATGCGCACAGCCGCACAGTCAGACACAAATTTAGACACGCGGCCCAAATCAGACATTGCGGCCCAGATCATTAAAACATACATACATACAGACAGACAGACATATATACACACGCAATACCTTGTGCAGGTGCCCGGGGTCACCGTTGCCCTCGTCATCCTCGTCCTCGCCGCCACAGCCTCCTCCCTCCCGCAGGCTGCCCTCCCCTCCAGAGCTCACACTGGCTTCCCGGTCCGGTCTCTCCTCACTCCGCTGGTCCCAGCTGGCGCCATCACGCACGGGCCACTCCCCCTCCGCCTCCCCCTCCCCCTCCCGCTGCCGCTGCCGCTTCTCCTCCTCCTCCTCGCCATCATCATCATGGGAGGAGGAAGACACCTCTTCTCCGTCTGTGAGCAAAAAGGGGACATGGCGCTTAGCTGTAAGTATGGGTGAGTGAGTGACTGTGCTGGGTTGTGAGCCGCGTGGAGAGTCGGATCGGGTCGGGTCGGGTGGGGTCGGGTCGGGGGTAGTCATATGGCGAAATCCAAAGGACCAACTGCCGTCACCGTCAAGTCAAGTCACAAACCGTCGCAACCGCCATCGCCGTGTTCCCGGAACCTTACCGGCATTGGGGATGGCAGCGGTGCCCTTGTCCTTGACCTCCTCATTTCGCGGCTCATTGCCATTTGCCGCACCAGAAGCGGCCCCGGGACTTCCACCCGGCCCCCCTGGCCCGCCTCCTCCTCCAACCCTCTTGGCGACCTGGCTCGGACTGCCCCGTTGTTCACCGCCTCCTCCGCCGCCGCTAAGTGCCGCTGCACCGCGGATCCCGCCTCCTCCCAATACTTCTGCAGCTGAAGGTCCTCCGGATGCTGCTGCCCCAGCCGCCGACCCGACGTCTCGCTGCGTCGAGGCGGCGGCGGCGGCGGCGGCGGCCCTGTTGCTGTCTCCGCGGCCGCTGCGGCCTGTGTCTTGGACTGAGGCCTTGGCATCTGTAGTGGTGGTCGCCATTGTCGTTGTCGCCGCAGCCTTGGCCTGATGTTGCTGCTGGTGTTGCTGCTGCATGAGCGCCTCCAGGCCCAACGCCCGGTAGATGTTCGCCCTAGCGCCCTAGGAACAGGAACAGAGGGGGGGATGGGGATGAAAGTGAGAGCGCGGGCATGAATACAAACAGTAATAGCTGCATAAGAAATAAGAAATAAGAAATGTTATATTTAGATAAATTCTTTTCGTCATAAATAACGCTTAATAATGGGATGTAGCGCAGTTTGATAGCGCGTAGCTCTAGGCCAATGACCTCCGTGCGATATAATGCAAAAGTGTTGTTATGTGGTATGTCGGCCAGGTAGGTGCCTGAATGTGAAGGTATGTGTGTTTGTATGTAACACGCCGGACACACATGGACATGTCCTACGGATAATACCCTTCGCACAGGCCGCTGTACGGCACTGTACGGCTCAGTACCGTACCTGGAAAGTGGTGTCGGGGTGAAGCGTGACGTGGATACGGCTCGTCCCGCCGCCATTGACGCCCTGAATGTACGATCAAGGAGAGCAGCAACGAACAACATAACGGCATGGAATGGTAAGCCGTTAGGTTCAACTAACTGTAATGAAAGTTCCTTTATCAAAGACAATGGCAGCGACACGAAAAGCACAAGAGGAGGAAACAAAAGGGCCGGAGAGAGAGACAAAAAGCGCACCACGAAGAGGGGTAGAAAGGAGGTCATGTGACTGTAAAGATCAAAATCAACCACAGCGCATCAATTCCAATATTATACACAACATCTTGCACAAAAAATATTTATCAAAAACTGTATCGTGTATATTCAATATCTAATTATACATGAATTATTTTATATTATTACATATATATCATTATATATTATATTATTATATATATTACATGTATATATCATTAGATTATATTATTATATATTATTACATATATATTATTATATTATATTGTTCTATATTATTACAACTATGTGCTCCGGTTACCTGCATGAAGACTTTCATGGTCCCCCCGTCGGGGTGAGCGCCTTCAAAGGCCCGCTGTACGGACACCACAGACCCGGCTCCGCCCCCCTTCATAGCGCTCTTCTTCTTCTTGTGCTTATCATGCAGCATGAGCTCCTCCCAGCTGATGCCCCGGGGGATATCCAAGATCCTGCGCGTGTACGTGTGTGTGTGTGTGTGTACGTGTGTGTGTGTACGTGTGTGTGTGCATGTGTGTGTGTGTCTGTCTGTGTCTGTGTGTGTGTCTGTGTGTGTGTCTGTACGTGTGTGTGTGTGTATGGGTACAGGTAAGTGTGTGTGGGGACGTCGCTAACACCATGACCACGACCCACGGCGGCTGATTACCGAAATATAAAATACCTTCATATACAACAAAATAACTTCATATCGCGGAGAAATTAAGGTAACTGCCCAGGGCTCCAGCAGGCTCAGGGCTGCAGGGCCTGGCCTGCTCTTCCGTTCCGTTTTCCCCCCTGCCCCGCCCCCTCCCTCACAACCCATGCCAACCCTGCAACACCAGTGTCTCGAAACAGCGGTCGTCCTCCCCTAAACCACCCCACATTAGCACACCACATTCATACCTTATCTTACCCCCCGCCTTGCCACCATTCATCCTCTCAACACCCCACCCTTGCTTACCACCACCACTACCTTTTGGCGCCCCTCCCCCCCCCCACACACCTACCTGTGCAGCGGCGTGCGCAGCAAAGTGGTGGGTGGCAATCCAACGATAAGGCCCGTGCTGACATCCGCCTTCCGAATGACCAACCTATGGTCCAACTCCACGACACCCGTCAGCAGGTCACGGCGCCACCTGTCGTGCCAAGGTACATGACATGTGTATGGCAGGTAGGTAGGTAGGTACGATGTGTGTCGTATAGCTCGACGATGTATCATCACACGTTCGCAGGAATTTCCCGTGCGTCTCTGGCGCTCATCCCCCTTACCGCATATCCGTACGTACGTACGTAGAGACGGACAGACAGACATGCATACATACATACATGTAGCCACAGCGCTACCCTACGTTGCTACCAACGGCATTCACCAAGTATATTTCGAGACTGGGTGCGTACAACTGGGTGCAATGCAACAAACACAATGCAGTCCCCGTAACCCGTGCAAAACTGCACAACGAATTCCCAACCATATCTGCAACGAACTCCAACCAATCCCATGCAGCGCCGGGTGGGGCCCCAAGCCCCACCCATCACCACCACTACCACCGGCACGCAGCGACCCAAACACGTTCACCCCCAGTCCTACCCCCGCCCTCCTTACAGGGAAAAAACCAGATGTACACTTTTCCCCTCCTCCTTTTCCCACACCCGCACAGCCACCCACACAGCCAAACCCCATTCCCGTGCCGTCCACACATCACCCCACAGGCACTGCACTCACAGAATAATCTTGGTCAATGTGCCCACCACATCCGCGGACAGGTCGCTGTACTCCGCAGCATCCACCAGCTCAGTTTGCAAGCAGGCGCTGCGGCCCACGAGGTGACGTGACGGGGACCTGGGATCGATGCTCGGCAGCAACCGCTCCTCCGTGGTTTCGGGGCTGTGCACCTTGACACGCCAACTGGTACCCGGCATCTCCATCTCGCGGTCTAGCATACTTAGCAGCAGCAGTTCCATCTGATGGGTGCCTGCCTTGGTGCGCCACTCCGAAAAAACATCAATGCAGTCGGCGAGATGCGAACCCACGCAGGCCGAGGCCGAGAAGCCGAAGAGTGTGGATTCGGGGTGGTCGACGGAGAGGATCTGGCCATCGGTAGTGCAAAGCAGCACGAGGCGGCGGTCGGCGAACATAGCTGGTGACGAGGTGTCCATCTTGCGAACCTGAGATGGAGGTGGGAGGTGGAGCATTGTAAGATCTTTCGTTTGAGATGTGTGTATTCCAGAGGCGGTGGAGAAACGTCCTGTGCATGATTGACGTGAACCTCAGTCTGTGAGCGGATCCAGCTGTGTTCCAACCCGCTCTTAGGTCAGGTCGCCCTTATGCGGTAGAAAAGAACGTAACCGCAACCAAAAGTTAACAATCGCTCTGTGGATGGCCCATGTTTTCGTTCCCTAACTACGTCACCCCAACTTCACCCGCCTTTTCTCAGGCCTTCCACCACCCCCCCCACCCCACCCCTTGCACCCCCCCCCCCGCGCACGCACCTGCACTATGTAATTTGTCTTCCCCGTCATGGAGTCGTCCTGACCGGTTACTTGCAGCCGCACGGGTACCTGAGCGCCGTTGCTGTTCACGAGCTGCACCAGGCGCCCGGCCCGGCAGCTGGTGGGGGGAATGATGATGGGGTGGTCCTGAGGCGCGGGGAGGGGAGGTGCGTGACGTGTGTGTGTGGAGGTGGAGAGAGGGGAGGGGGACAGGGTTTTGGGAGATCTTTGGAAAACGAGGGAGAAACGATTTGAGAACGGTGCGATTGAGTTAGGAGAGGTTCCCTCTGTGGGGCCCGAGCGGGCCGCAGGAGAGCCCCCTTCGCGGTGTGAGCCAAAGGCCCCACTGGCATTCCGCGTGTGTGTGAAGGGGGCCCGGGATGGGGTGAGATGGGGTGAGATGGGGTGAGGCCGCGGGTAAGGACATGGAGCCGTAGGACTTGTAGGACGGTGGGGCTGCTGCCCGGGGGACGGGGCGCGGGTGAAGGTTTCGGTGGGCGCGGGGACGTCTTCGCTCCCACCCGCCGGTGGTGGTGACGTGCACATGCACTCACGCTCGCGGTTCGCCGGTAAGATGTGTAGTAGACAGAAACGCAGAGAAACCCGCTTGCTGAGGCCCTCGGGGCCCTCGGGGCTACACTTTCCAAACTTCCCTCCCTCCCTTCCCTTCCCTCCCTCCCTCCCTCGCTCCCTCTTCCCACCGACCTCACCCTCCTCCTCACACACACCCACGACCACCCACTACCAACACAGTCAAGTATCACCCACCCATCCATCCACCAAACCATCCACCAAACCAACCACCAAACCATCCAACCGCTTACCCTGAGGTACTTGGTGTGCATGCTCGCAAATGGTTGCGGGAGCAGCTGATCCAGCTTCATCTTCAGGAACTTCTTGAGCGGGTAGCCCAGCATGGCGGCCACGTCCCAGGTCGCGAAGCTGAGTGTGCCGCGGGTGTCCACCACCATCAACCCGTCCGCGATGCCGTCGATGCGGCGGGCGTTAAACACAAAGATGCGCTGCGAGTCGGTGCCCCCCGGGGCCACCTTGATCTCCACCAACACGGGCGGCAGGTGCCTGCGTGTGTGCGTGCATAGGTATGTCCTTATGTGGGTGCGAGTGTGAGTATATGTATATGTATGTCATTACTTAAATGGTCAGGTGCTTAATTTCTTTGAATAATTGCCTTGATATATGCTTGTTTTGCGGTTTGTTTTCCTCGATAAGTCTTGAATAAACGTCTTCAATAATACTGACTCATCCCCCTGCGTGCGCAAACGTTGGGGACAGCCATGTGTCGAGTCGGGTGCAGAACCAGACCCAGAGTCCAGGAGTCCAGGGGCCCAGGACAACCTATCCTTCCATGCCGCACCTAACCTGCTCTTCCCAACACCGCCGTGTGAGCTCCTCCTCTTCCTCCCCCTCCTCCTCCTCTTCCTGTTCCTCCCCCCCTTCCTCCCCCTCCTCCTCCTCCTCTTCCTCCCCCTCCCC